AAAAAAAAAAAAAAAAGTATATTACAAATAGACACGATCATTTTTGAACATTTGAAAAGGCTGCCATATAGAAGAGAAAGAATGCCATTTCAACAGAGGGCAGGACAGCTGAACACAAAGCTCTGTATTTAAAACAGAAAAACAGGTTTAATTAAGTCTTAGAAGTCTTTTTTTTAAACTGAAAGGACTTTAGGACAATGGAACAAGATTCCTAGGTACACTGTGGGCTTTCCTTCACTGAAGCTTTTCAAAAACAGGCTAAATAAGAATCTGTCTGGGGTAGCTTAGAAATAGCGTATCCTTCCACCTGCAAGGAATTAAACTAAGCTAACCTGCAGAACTAAAGGGTCCCATAAAGCGTCAATAAAGCCCTGACCAAAGTAGCAGCAGTCATATTTCTTATGCAGCATAGACAAATATTCTAAAACACTTCTCTGGAAAATAAACTACTGCAGGGCCAGATTTTCCAGAGTTCCCATGGTTCCTATTGCCCTTTTTCTCAGGGGGAGCTGATCCCAACCAAAAGTGCTGATTTCTTGAGAAAATCTGAGCCTTTTCTGTTCTTGTTCTATTACTCCCATTCTATAAGTCTGAGCAACACAAGAACCCATGCATCATATAGACTACAGACAGGCATTCAAAAATCTAGGGCCTGAATTGATTCAATCTTTGCACGTTAATCTAACCTGCCTAGATTGAATCAATTTGCAAGTGAATAGATATTCCCTCAACTCAGGAAATGCAGGCACATGCCTGCAGTGGCTCAAGCCAGAAGCACGGGGGGTGCTAGAGCAGCCCTGGGCTGCAGGCAAGCTGTGCTGGGGAGCGGGGAGGGGAGCCAGCCCCAGCAGTAGTCTGGAGTGAATTGGCTAGGGTCTATGCCTGTCTCACTGGCACAGACCTGAGCCAGGGTCCATCTGGTACTCCCCCCTTGCTGCTGCAGCAGCAGGGGTGGGGGCATGGCCAGACACTGGCTGGCATGGCCCCCTGAGGCAAAAGGGGGCAGGAAGGAGGTTTATTACCACCTTCATCCCCAGGGCACCACAGCCAGGGTATGCCAGCCCTGACCACCGCCTCCACCAATCGCTCCCTGTGCAGGGCAAGTGGTGGAATAACCCCCCTCCCTGCCCCCCTTACCAGACACAGGATGGAGGAGGAATAACCCCCCTCCCTGCCCTCATGGCCTAAGGGGAACATGCCAGCCAGCCTGTGGCCACATCCCCACCTCTGCTACTGGAACGGCAAGGGGGGGGAAGGATCCTGAGGCAGGCAGCAGCTCCTATCATGATCCTGGGAGTGCCAACTTTTTCCCAGTGAAGGTGCTGCGTTGCTGCAGACTGGGTGGTGAGAGCAGCGGCAGTGCTAGGGAGAGTTTGGGGAGCTATGGCCACCCCTGTGAACCCCAGTGCCACCACTCACGCCACGCAGCCTGTGGCAGTTCTGCCCAGTCCAGCCCTGCTTGCAGTGCAGCCCCCCTCACCACTCCTGGAAAACCATGACAGGGGCTGCTGCCCCCATCAGGGTCTCAACCCCCTCGTCACTCCAGCAGCAGGAGCAGGGGCACAGCCAGAGGCTATCCAGTTTGGCTTCCTTAGGTGACAGGGGCACAGAGGGGAGTTATTTTCCTCCTCCCTCTAATATCTGGCAAAGGAGGCAGGGAAGGGGCTTATTCTACCACTCGCCCCATGCAGGGAGCAATCAGTGGAGGCTGGCAGACCCCAGCTACAGTCCCCCAGAGGTGGGGGGGGACTAAATCTCCTTCCTGCCCCCTTCACCTCAGGGGGCCATACTGGCTGGCATCTGGCCATGTCCCCACCCCTGCAGCAGCAAAGGGGGAGTGTGCCAGGTGGACCCCAGCTCAGGTCCGTGCCGGTGGGATAGGGAGTGGAGAATTAAAACCCCTCCCTGGTCAGTTCACTTGAGGCTACTGCTGGGGCTGGCCATGCCCCCGCTACTGAAGCGGTGAGCAGAGAAATGCCTGGCAGGTCCATACTGGTGGCACAGGGGAAGGAGGGAACAAATCTCTTTCCTGCCCCCTTCGCCTTAGGGGGGCCAGCATCTGACCATGCCCCCGCCCCCCCATATTCTGCCTAGGGAGCAGAGGAGCAGGGCCAGTCCTGCCCCACTGAAGCAGAGAGCACAGCCCTGCCCAGGGGTACAGATCATGCTGGGATGCTGGGGGACTCTGGTTTAACTTAAACCAGGAAAGTGTCTGGGACAGAGGTTCCATAAAACAATTTGATCTCAGTTACGTCTGATTTACTACATTCAACCAAGTTCTCTCAAACCGGTTTCAGCCATTTTACACTCGTTTATGTGCACTGAACTTATGTTCTGTTACAGGTTTAAACCAGCTTCTGCTCGCTTAAACCTGGTTCTACGTAATTTTTCTCCCTAGCCATAGAGGACACAGAAGTCCTGAAACAGCCCCTGGATACTTTGGTCATTCCTCCTCAGCAAGTAAGACTACCACCTTGATCATAATGACCCTTCCCCCTCCCACAACATCCTGCCTTCTGCCCTTTCCCTTAATTCCCCTCTAATGATGATTATGACTTCACACCAAAATCCACCAACATTTAGTTAGCTAGCATTAAGTCCCACTTACCTATATTGCCGCCAACTTCATAGAGGAGCAAATTCATAGATTCAACAGAGCCGTTACTGCAAGAGACAAAGAAGAAACAGAACTGTGTGACTGGACTTTCTGCCTTGTAAACAGGATGTTCATATCACACATGGCTCCGAGGAAACAGCTCATGGTTCAAAGGCCAGCAAAGGTAAAGAAAGCCCCAGGCAACATAGGGCACTAAACTCTGCTGCTGCTTCTACAGTGTAACTGTTGGAGAGGTCACCGGAGAATCAACAGGAAGGGAAGACAGACGTTCTTGGCCACTGTAGAGATCTGCACAAAACTCTGACAAAAGACTGAATTCTCAGGACAGAAATAAAGGGCAAAACAATAAAATTAAATAAATAAAATTAAATAAATGTCTATTGGCAGTGTTCATCTAGGATGAACTGCCCAATCAGGCAAGGATCATCTGCGTAAGGAAAACTGCAGAAGCCTATAGCAGGAATGGCAGCCATTTGGTACTACATGAGTAGTTTTGCTTTCTAATCCACACTAATGGATCCAGCTGAACCTGGACATGTGCTGTGTGAGGGAGGACAGGGCATGCGAAATCTTCCCAGCACACATCTTGGAAATACTGTCACACATGTACTTATTTGGATTAGCACTGGAGGGGATATTCTGGCCATTAACAGACTGTTCCCTCCTGGATTGCTGCAATCTTCAACAGGAAAGCTGAGAAAGACTTATCTGGAAGGCTATCCCTCCACCCAAACAGGCCTTTTGACGTGGCAGTTCCCTTACAGCCTGTGCAATGATGCAGTTATTCAGCATTTGTGTCCACCATATGGATACAAAACACCCCAACTCTAAAAGTTTAAACAACAGTCTAAAAGGCAGAACTGACTGCCAGTCACCATGCAGATCTCTGTCCCACACCAGCTTTTATCAAACTAAGGAGACAGGAAAAAAAAAAGCCATGAGACCTGGACTACTTCATGTCTATTTAACTGAGAAGGAGCTTATTACCATTTGAGCAGGTGTACCGTGTTGACAATATTCCAGTTGTTCTGAGAGAGGCGTTTCTGAAACTGCCTTAGAACATCAGCAGCCTTGGTTCCATTGTTCAGATGAACTTCCATTGAGTCCTTCAGGAAGAGAGAAGTCTGGACTTTTACAATTTTGGAAGGCTAGGAAATACAGGGGGAGGGAGAGAAAGAAAAACAGGTTTAAAGACTATAATGCTGGCATCGATTAACTGCCCAGTGTTCTAACCAGAGGTGAAAGATCACACGAAAGGACAAATTAGGTGTAATGTGCGTGGGATTTAGTTCTGTAGCCCACCTCCCACTTACATCACGTGGAGATGGGAAAATGCACAGCTGTATTAAAGCAAACAAAAGTGATCAACACTGGCTTCCCTGTTGTAGCCAGGAGTGGATTTGTTGATTTTGGATACAGTTTAGAATCCACATGTCAGCGCCCTCTCGTGTTAAAAGTTAGTATAAGCATTAGAAGAACTACAACTTCTTCCATGCAGATTTTTTAATTGTTCTAAGACAGCAAATATAGGCAAATCCCAAACATTAATCATCTCCTATTACATAGTGCTTTTCCTGCTTACTTATACCTCTCTGCTCAATACTGAATAGCTCCCACTTCTGTAAAGCAGCAACTTTTTAAGTGCACTGTATACTACTAGATTCATAACAAGTCATCCAGACATTTAATTAAATTATTTTGAGATTTCTGAATAGTAACTAGGGGAAGGAACATTTGCAGGCACTATGTTCAATACACCATTTGTGAACTGTGACCCAGTTTCTCTAAAATAAAACCTTCCATTTGGTAACTTAAATGGAATGTGGATAAACTCAGTCAGCACAAACAGGAAAGGATGAGGCGTGAAACCTACTGCAATTCATTATGATCTATGGGCGCATCCTGCAGATCAATGCATGGCTGCACAGATGGTGTTCAGTAGGACTAACTGAAACCTGGTGGGACTCTTCTCACGACTGGGTGGTGGGAATAGAGAGCTATAGGTTGTATAGGAGAGATAGAGTAGGGAAAAAAGTTTGGGGAGTTGCTCTCCATGTCAAAGAACAGTACACATCTTCCCTAAGCAAGTTAGGATCAGAGGGTGGTCAAGCAGAGTCTCGGTGGGTTAGGATCTAAGGGGCTCAGGGTGAAAGGGATCTGGTGGGGGGGCATCTACTACAGGCCACCGCACCAGGACGATGAGCTAGACCAGGAATTTTCCAAGCAGCTCGAAGGGGCTATGAGATCTAGACATATGGTAGTCATTGGGGACCTTAACTACCCAGACATATGCTGGGAGGAGCAATCAGCTAGATCTAACCGCTCTCGCAGGTTCTTAACCTGTATTCAGGACCTCCACCTAACACAGGAGGTAAGGTGTCCCACCAGGGGCAATGCCTTGCCTGATTTGGTGTTGGCCACAGGGGGATGACCTGGTGGGGGACCTGCAGATTCAAGGCAATTTAGGGGACAGCAATCACCAAATGATTCAATTCACTATCCCGTGATTCAATTCACTATCCAGGAAGGCCCTTTGGCTAATCAGGGGCATCCAAGATACCTTAAGAGCAAAAAAGAGGTGTACAGGAAATGGAAGCAGAGGGTAGCTAGGAAGGAGAAGTATACTTCTTTGGCCCGCACCTACAAGGAGTCAGTCAGGAAGGCCGAGGCAACTCTACAACTCAGGCAAGTGTCAGGGATCAAGGACAATAAAAAGTCTTTCTTTAGGTATGTTGGGAGCAAAAAGAGGGTGCAGGGTAGCATAAGACCCATACAGGACAGGCAAGGGGGCTTAGTGACAGATAGCAGGGACAAAGCAGAGCTCTTCAATGAGTTTTTTGCCTGTGTCTTCTTAAATAGGAATCTAGATGAACCCTCAACATACATCACGGACACCAACAAATAGAACATCAGCCGACCAACAGTCAGTGCCAACACGGTAAAAAGACACTTGGAGGAACTAGGCATATTCAAATCACCAGGACTGGAGGGACTCCACCCACGGGTAATGAAGGAATTAGCGGGGGGGCATAGCTGATCCACTGGCAAGGATATAGGAGCACTCATGGTGCTCGGGTCAGGTTCCAGAGGACTGGAAGAGGACTAACATCGTCCCAATCTTTAAGAAGGGGAGGAAGGAGGACCCAAGCAACTATAGACCAGTCAGCCTTACCTCTATCCCTGGGAAAATCCTAGAAAAAATTATCAAGAAGAACATCTGTGGGAGCCTGCTGGCTAATGTGATGCAGAGGAGTAACCAACATGTTTTTTTTTTTTTTTTAGCAGGCAGGTCCTGCCCGACTAACCTAGTTTCCTTTTATGACAAGGCCACCATTTGTTTAGATGCAGAAGTTGAGGTGGATGTTATCTATCTGGGCTTCAAGAAGGCCTTTGACAAGGTATCCCATACCATCCTTATAAATAAACTGAGGGGATTTGCCTTGGATGATTACACGATAGACTGGGTAGCAAATTGGCTCAAGGATCACACTCAGAGGGTGGTAGTGGATGGGTTGGTGTCAACCTGGAAAGATGTGGGCAGTGGAGTCCTTCAGGGCTCAGTTCTGGGGCCAGTGCTGTTCAACATCTTCATCCATGATCTGGATGAGGGGGTGGGAAGCACCCTGACCAATTCATGGACCACACAAAATTATGGGGTGCAGCTAACACTCTGAAGAGACGGAACCAGATCCAGGCTGACCTAGATACGCTGGGGAAGTGGGCAGAGAGCAACAGGATGCAATTCAATAAAGACAAGTGCAAGGTGCTGCATCTAGGGTGGAAGAATTGCCATCATACCTACAGGCTGGGGGGCAACCTTCTCAGCTCCATGGAGGCAGAAAAAGATCTTAGAGTCACTGTTGACTCCAGGATGAACATGAGTTGCCAATATGATGAAGCAGTTGGCAGAGCCAATCACACCTTGTCATGCATCTGTAGGTACTTCATAAACGGGTCCAGGGAAGTGGTTCTCCCTCTCTATACGGCACTGGTCAGACCGCAGCTGGAGTACCGTGTCCAGTTCTGGATGCAGCAGTTCAAGTGGGATGCGGACAACCTGGAGAGGGCCCAAAGAAGAGCCACTTGCCCGATTAGAAGCATGCAGGGAAGGCCCTATGAGGAAAGGCTAAGGGACCTTAACCTCTTCAGTCTCTCCAAGAGAACGCTGAGAGGGGACCTTGTGGTGACGTACAAATTCATAAGGGGAGAGCAACATGAAGTAGGCAATGATCTGTTCACCAGGGCACCCCCTGGAATGACAAGGAATAATGGCCATAAGCTACTAGAGAGAAGGTTTAGGCTGGGCATTAGGAGAAAGTTCTTCATGGTTGGGGTTGCCAGAATCTGGAATAGGCTCCCAAGGGAGGTGGTGCTCATCCCATCTTTGGGGGTCTTCAAAAGGAGACTGGACGGCACCTGGCTGGGATCACATGACCCTGTGCCAGGGGCAGGGGGTCAGACTAGATGGCCCAACTCTATAAATCTATGATCCTGAGGAAAGGAAGGAAGAAGAGCAGGAGAGTACAAACCCTGGACTTCAGAAAAGACGACTTTGATTCTCTCAGGGAATTCATGGGTAGGATCCCATTGGAGGCCAGTCTGAGGGGGAGAGGAGTCCAGGAGAGCTGGCTGTACTTTAAAGAAGCCTTACTGAGGGTACAGGAACAAACCATCCCAACACACAGGAAGACTAGCAAGTATGGCAGAAGACCAGCTTGGCTCAGCAGGGAACTCTTCAGTAAGCTAAATTGCAAAAAGGAAGTTTATTAGAGGAAACCAACTAGGAAGGTGGACAAACAACTAGGAAGGTGCATAAGAGTATTGCTCAGGCATGCAGGGATAAAGTCAGGAAGGCCAAAGTGCAATCTGAGTTGCAGCTAGCAAGGGATTTGAGGGGTAACATGAAGATTTATACCAGTATGCCAGTAACAAGAGGATCAGGGAAAGTATGGGTCCCTTACTGAATGGGGGAGGCAACTTAGTGACAGAGGATGAAGAAAAGGCTGAATTACTCAATGTCTTTTTCACTTCAGTCTTCAGAGGCAATGTCAGCTCCAAGACTACTGCACCTGGTGCCTCCCCCTGAGAGCACTGGCTGGGGAGTGGAAGCGCTGGATGAATTATTGTGGCTATTTCCCAGTCGGTGCAATTGGCTGCGGGGGGACCCCGCCAGTCGCTGACTGGTCGCTGGTGTGGCACTTGCTCCCCCTGACTAAGGTGGCACCAGTCGCCTATGGTGATCAAGAAAGGTCCCCTATGGTTAGAAAGGGGTGCCTGTATTTAAGAAAGGGAAAAAGGATCCAAGGACCTGGAGGTTACAGTGGACAATGAGCTGAATACGAGCTAACAGTGCACCCTTGTTGCCGAGAAAGCTAATGGCACACTGGGCTGCATTGATAGGGGTGTTGCCAGCAGGTTAAGGGAAGTGATTCTTCCCTTCTATTCAGCACTGGTGAGGCCACATCTGGAGTACTATGTTCAGTTTTGGGTCCCCTATTATAGAAAGAATGTGGACAAATTGGAGAAAGACTAGCACAGGACAACAAAAATGGTGAAGGGACTTGGACACATGACTTATGAGAAGAGGTTGAGGGAACTGGGCTTATTTAGTCTGCAGAAGAGAAGACAGAGGGGATTTAATTGTACCCATCAGCTACCTGAAGCGGGGTTCGAAAAAGGATGGAGCTAGACTGTTCTCAGCGGTGGCAGATGACAAAGCAAGGAGTAATGGTCTCAAGTTGTAGCAAGGAAAACATTGGTTCTTATTGTTAAGACAGGCTGGCAGGTCTGCCCTGAGCTGTGTCAAGTTTATACCAGGGTAGCCAAGAAGATACAAGTCAACCACCATTTTATGCAAACTCGTGAATGCATAAACACCTAGCATTTAAGATGTTTGGTTCACTGGCTGCTGGGGTTTGGTTCTTTAACATGCCAGCAAGATAAAGTTTTATTCTTTTTTAAATAATCCCCTGGTGTTCACCAGTCCCTCCTAAAAAGGTACTTAATAAGAACTCATTGAATCCTATCCTCTGTGATCCCAGCTTTTCTGGCCGTCACTTACTTCGGCTTCATTCTTCTCTGTCTTGTCCTTGTCCGTATGAATCTTCCGCAGCAAGTTTTTGATTCGCTTGTCATAAAACTGGTACCTCCTGCTGCTGCTTTCATTCATTTTTCTCACTTGAGCTACCAGGAAAGAGGAGACCTAAGGGAAATGAAAACAAACCAATAAATATAACAAACATCAACATACCAACCCTTTCCATTTCAGAGCCAAATGGAAGCGCTAGCCACTAGTTAAACATGTTTCACAAATTGACTGTAAAGGCGTTCACTGCACTGCAGGGGATAGGGAGTGCCATAGTGTGGTGAATGGAATCCTCTCTAGCCCTCTACCTTGCACCCCGATTCCGAATCTACCTACAGAAAGATTAATATCTTTTGGAGGCATTTTATACAGTTTCTCCTGAAACATCACCTATTCTTTAGTCTCCACTATTCAGGGTAGGGTGTGGGGGTTAAGTTTGTGGCACTTGTCAAAAAAGGTTGGCCCCTACTCCTTTAGAGGAACTTTCCAGCTTCTGTCCCCTTACAGAAAGAAGTGTATTTGTGGCTTCCACAGATTTTTAGCAAAATTGTGCTGTTATGGTCTCAAAATAGAGAGAGAAAAACATCTGCATAGAAATTGGTCGGCATTGCAGACGGTTGTACGGTGAATTGGGGAATCCCTCCCCCCCACAAACACTCTATAGACAGTGTTTTGCCTACATGCCTTGGGAGCAGCAGAAGACAGCACCTTAGCCAAAACTTTCATTTACAGAATTCTATTTTCTTTGAAATCTCCAGGATTATCTTACTGTGCCAAGCTTTGACCCAATCTGACTAATGCCCATGTCGATACCCTCCAAACGGACTGCCAGGTGACTTACAGTCCAAAGGAGATCTTGGTAATGGATCATCATCCGCACAACATTAGCTGCCCCTTCTGCCAACTGTTTCTCCTTCCCTTCTGGGACCTTGCTGGGCAGCGCCTTGTGCATGAAGAGATTCGGGGCAATGACCATGGAAACATTCCAGAGATTCATTTTGTTCTTTTTCTCCCTGGCAACCACTTTACTGAGAAATTCAAGCAAAGCCTGACAAGAAAGGAAGCCAAGTTGATGTTTTCAAGACATACTAACTTTAACATATAGCAAATGAGAGTGAGTGCTATGTCTTCACTGGGTTAATGTAAATAACCTTTCATCTTGGAAGACTTATGTTCAAAAGCTCAAAATAATTCACTGGTCTTGTCCTAGCATTAGGATAACATCAGCTTATAGTACAGACATGTGTGGCAACTTCAGTGAACCCAAACTCTCAAGAATCAGGTCAGATGATGAGGTTTGTGCAAAAAAGGAGGTCATTTTCCCTGACCTGTAGTGGCCCTCCTTCCCTTAGGTTCACTCAGTTTCCCATCCCAAAGACCCTCAAAAACTTGCAGCTTCTTCCAGGTGAGGTGGATAACTTCTTCCCTGTTCCTGCGTAAAACTACAATATATCCCAAATTTATCAAATGATCCAGATTTCTGAGACAATCTAGCCCTAGAAAAATGATACAGTTTTGTAGAGAACTGAATCAGGATATTCTTATGGAGAGGCACAACTGGGCAACAATGAGCTATTGGTTGGGATCACTGATGTGGCTTCTGCAGTATCCATGACTCACAAAGAACACAAGGCCAATCAAGTGCCCCACATTGCCACAAAACTGACCCAGAAACAGCACTTCTTTTTCCAAGGTAGTGTTGTGAATAACAAGGGGATTTCAATGTATTCCGATTAGAAAGCAGTACAAAGCTAAAGCTTTTGCAACTTTTTCACTATTAAAATGATGTCAGGATGCAAAGACACAAATATCAGCTGCACTGAAATCCTTTTACCTACTCTCCAAGGCCCTGTATTCAACAGATAGTCTAGGTTGCTGTAATAAGCAACTATTTTGTTTTGCCTCAGATGCCAGTATTTCACCACATTCAAATGGGAAGAGTAAGACTGTCAAGCAGGAGCATAAGCAAACATTTTCACAGAGGCATAAACGCCTGATGCTTCTGCAATCTTATACAACAATACAGCAATCACATGCTGATAGTTTGCACCCGCTAAATGATATGTGGGAACCTTTATTTTGCCCCAAGCATTCCTACCCACTAAGTTAATGAAGCTGGCACAAGACTAAATAATGCAATCTAAATTAAATTTCTCATGGAAAGAGGAGCGCAAAGATAAGTTCTCTAGGTAGGTACATGAACGGATATCACATTTTTCACCCCTACAGTTTTTCTTAGGGCCTTTTTTTCTTTATTACCTTTAAGGTGCTTCTGTTGGGCTCTGGCAGAATCAGGATGAGCAGGTTGAGGGCTTGCAATCTCTGCTTCAGGTCTGGGATATCTAAGAAGAGAACATGTTCTTTGCCATCAAACAGCAACAGCTTAAGTGTGAAGTAAACAGAGACCAGGTAAAAATCTAAACCAATCTGGCTCCCATATGGAACTGAAGCTCTGAACAGGCTAGCATATTATTATGAAGCTCAGGTAACTGATATGGGAGAAGCTAGGGTAACATTTTCTAGCATGTATGTGAAACTTAGGAGCTGAAGCCAACAGGATTCAAGCACCTAACTCGATCCTTTACGAGGATGGGAGTTTACAAAAGTTCTCCATGGCACCCAAATAAGTAACTATCTATATTTCTCTTCACTGCTTATCCAAGAACCAAGTTAAGTTTTACTGAATTAATTCAACTTATAACATCCTTGTGAAGGAAATTACATATTACAAATAGGTAATCTAATCTGAAGCACTGAGGTAGCAATTCACTTTAAAATTTCACATGAACTTTATAGTGAAGCTATAAATGGCACCCCAAAAAAACAGTGAAGAACCTGGGGAATGGACAAGTTTTGAAGCAAACATTACGAAAAATGAACAGGAATTAAACACACACACTCTACTTCAGCAGCTGCAAAGCTTAAGGACCACAGATGGAAAGGAATACAGATCTAGGCACTGGGCCTGATTCAGTCACTGGCCGACTGTGAGACCCTGAGCTACTCGCTTCCTTTCTCTGTGTACCTCAATTCCCCCTTCCATTCTTTAACAGTGTTGGCATCTCAAAATCCAATTTCTTTATAGAAGGAACATTCTTTCCAGACATTTGTAAGGACCTGTACAACAGTGCTCTGATCTCACTTGGGGCTCAAGGTACTACAACTATACAAATAAATAATGATAGTAAGCTACACTGATATGGTCATGTAAAAAGCTCTATACATAAAATTCTACTGGAGATGAGTAAGAATTCAACATTTAGCTAACTGAAATTGCACAAAGCATGCTGACCATGGTCAGCACTACATAAGCTCTAGTTAAAACAAACGTGTGACACACCTCTGAGGCCATAAGACAAGCTTTTAAAAAGAAAAACACAAAGCTGCAAAGGCCACACTGCCTGAACAGGGACTTACTTTGCACAGCAGCAAAAGCAGGCAGATATTCTGCCATCAGCAGAGGAGTGGGCAGCTCTCGAATGAACCTCTTCAGCAAGCCAGATATATCATTCTGATGAACCTCTTCCCAGCGGAAAAGGCCAGAGTAAAAGTCACTTTCCAGCTTTTGTTGCAAATTCTGTAGAGGGAAGAAAGTCTCCATCACTTTCAAGAAACAGGCACAATAAGAACACAAGTTGGACCTCCCATCCACAATCCAAAAACTTCAGGGCGTTAGTAGGTAGGGTAAACCTGCTAATAGACTCCAGCATTTTGGAGAAAGTGACTGGGAGGGCGGGATAGAAGAGAAAGTGGTCGGGACCATTCCAAAATGGATCTGGGTACCAAAAGTAAGGCCTGTGCAACAGTCACTTGCTTACACCCCCTACTTTAATGTATTAACAGAAATACTATACCTTGATTCTGGTCTGCGACCCTGAAACTCTAAGGATGCCTTCAGTGTCAAGCCCCTTCTTTTCTAGACATGACAGCAGCTGAGAAAACAGAAAGCAAGCTCTTAAATGCAGAAGACCAGATGTCAGTCTTTTTAGACTTAGGTTTAAGGCCTTGAATACTTCTCAGGTCTTGAAGCTATTGCATGCAACTGAAACTGGAAGGTAACTTACTGCATGGAGTATCAGTGGGACCTTGGCATTGGGGATGAGTTTTTGGTCATTTTCCAATAAAGTGTTGAGTGGAACTCCAAAGAGTCGATTCTCTGCAATAAAGACAATGTACATATAAACAACTGTCAAGAACTGCAAATCAGAAGTGCCCCATCTTCTGTTCCAACTGGGGAATGCACTTCATTAAATAATCACTGAAAGGAAAAGGAGACCAAATGCTGCAGTATTATCGCAAGTGGATGTGGGAAACCCACTCAGAGCAGAGAAGAAACAATGCATGCGATTCAGATCACAGAAAGACCCACAAAAGTCTAGCATGTCTCAAGGGCACTTCTTTTGGATTTATATTCTAATGCAAGAGCACCTGTAGTGAGGTTGAATGTTACCAAAATCCTGTTTGCTTGATAATGTTAACAGAAATAAAAAAACCCTCAACATTAAAGAGAAATTAAAAGACAAGAGATTGAGCTGACCTGTTGCTTTCAACTTTATGGCCTTATTTCTCTTCAGCTCCACACCTAAGACATCACAGAGAGCTGTCAACTCAATTAGTGCCAGCGTGGGGATCTTCTTCATGTCCTGCGGAGATAGATCTCCAATTCTGGTCACACCCAGCCTGCCCTTGCGGAGCTTAAATTTCTAGAGAGAAAAAATGAAAGAAGGTTCCTAAGTGCCAGCCCAGATGGCTCTGCTGGCTTTGTCGTATGAAATGTCCCTAATATTGCCTTCTACATTTCCACTTGTAAACCTACCTGTCACCAGCCCCAGACTTCTGCTCACAGCAGAACCAGGATGTCTTTGTATCTGCAGTGTGAAGGTCTTATCCAAGCCTTCATCTCGTATGGCCTCAAGTACTGCAACCCCTTTCTCTACAAGTTTCCCCAGAATGACAGTGTCTGATAAGACAAGGCTGGAAGAGGGAAATCCTGAGCAGAATGGTCTGAATATGGTAATTTAAATACATTAAATAGGTATTTTAAAATAATTAGTAAAGGGGATTTGTCAAAGGGGAGAACTCAGTTCCACCAGCACCATTTCCCTTCAGCTTTGCCTTATGCAGGAGCCAAAGCTGGTCAGGCAAAATAAAATGCACAAAACCATCCCAATCTATTCTACCATTTGAAAGAAGGGTCAATAAGCTTTCTGTGCCATTCACCAATTCTTTTCCTCTTAAAAAGGCAAAGATGTCTTCAGTCCAGTATCTCTAGTCTGGTTATTTTCCTACTCCTACTTTGCAATTTCTTTCTCACTGAAAGAGATCCAGACACCAGCAATGAAGAGCTGTAGGTGCTGCAGTATAAGTATTGTTCCAAGATTCTTCCTTCTTTCCTGAGCCCTACCATAATAATTGCACTTAGTTAACATTGCATTAAAACACATGGATAGTTCTGCTCTGACTCTTGCACAGAGCTCTTTCTAATGATAAAAGAACCTGTTCAATCAAGTACCCTAAAAGCAATTTTTTTAAAAAATTCAGAAACTAAAATTTCTAGGATCACCCCAAGAAAGAAGGGGACACAGGAAGTTCAGAGAAGTGCCTCATGGCCCTTACAGTTAAGGTATTCTCCTCTTTTATCCGCCTGGATTCGGGTAGAGATCCCTTGAGCAGAATGGCCGCTTGCTCTGAGTAGGCAACATCCGTATTGAATATTTCCTCTCTTCCAGAGCTCCTAACCATGTCTGAGAAGTCCTGAAGTCCCCTTGCATCTGCTACAGTCAAAAGCATGGTTTTAATTGATAGATCTTGAAAAGCAAAAGGAAGTGTGTAAGTCAACATAAGAAGATGTATTAAACAAGTTTGTGACACCACAAAGTTCTCTCACCAAGAATGTACTAACTTCATGCAACATTATCTGAGCACTGGGTGAAGTCTGGCAAATCCATGAGAGATGAAAAGCTTGAGATTAAGGGAAAAGATAGCCAAGGCCATTACTTCCCCCTTTCTGGATGACACTGACCTAGGCATTACATATTAGGGCTGCGTGAAGCTTCGGTCGCTGATTCGATTTGGCAGAGATTCAGCAGCTGAATCTCAAATCGATTTGGAGAGATTTGATGATTCGGACATAGGCAGCTTTAAATGTTTTTTCTACATACCTCAAGGTACCAGGCACGGCTCATGAATGCTGAGATGGTGGGGCAGGCAGAGCATCCCATGGGAGCACGAGGAGGTTCACAGCACGCTTAGTGGCGGACCCAGAAGTGGTCCAGAAGCACTTCCGGTCCACTTCCAGGTCTGCCATGGAGCACACGGGGGACCCCCCTTCCCTCCAGCTCTGCAACTGGTGCCTCCTGGGTCTTGGGGACACCTGGGGTCCCCCTACAGATGATTGCAAAGCTGGGGGACAGGGTGGGGAAGCCCCCCCACGCACTTGGTGGTGGACCCAGAAGTGAACCAGAAGTACTTCAGGTCCACTTCCAGGTCCGCTGGAGAGCATGCAGGGGGCACACTCCTGTGGGACGCTCCATCCACCCCACTATTCTCAGTGCTCACGAGCCGCGCCTAGTACCTTGTGGTATGTAGAAAAACATTTTAAGCTGTGTATATGGCCAAAATTGCTGATGCTCTGAATTGGCATTGAATCTTCAGATTCGGATTCAGCTGAATCGAATCAGGACAGTGATCCAAATCAACTAATCAAATCCCTGTCCCCTGAATCAGGCCGAATCCAAATTGAATATGGCCCGCTTCGCATGCCCCTATTACACATGGCACGCTACATAAGATAACATACCCTTCTCAGAATCCAATACTGGAGGCAGAACCATTTGAGCTAAGCTAACCTAGAACATCATAGAATTTCATCTCTATCTCAGAGTGTCCTCGCTACTTTGGGGGTGGGAGGGATCACTACAAGGTTTTGGTGAAAATTTTTGGGTGGACTTCAAATTGCAAACAAATTCTACCCTTCCTCCCTTTTTAAATTTAGCATCTATTAAGAAAACAGACTGTTCTCAATACTGTCCTTTGCATGTACAAAAGAAACCAGCATACACGCTCTGCTATATGCTGCAGTTCCTTATGAGGGTAGAGATTCCCCTATAAGGAAAGTGTTCCAACTGCAGCTTTTAGTTTTTCAAATCTACAAAGGAAAGTATGATGGAATACCCGTTTTTATATGAAAACACTTATCACACTGCTCTTCCAAAAGTTACTTCACCCTCAGCCTTAAGGAAGTACATTAGGGATAGACAAGGTAAAAGCTCTTCCTTACATTTGCGTGTGTTGCCTGAAGACCCCAAACCATGCTGTGACCGAGTTGTGACTGATTCCTCTGTTTCAGCTACCACCTCCTAAGGAAATAAAAAGCAGAATGCACTTGGTACACCCTGCTGTATATACAGAGAGCCAGTGTGCAGCGTCCTGGTTTGGCGGTTAAGAAAATTGTTCACTTGCACTAAAGAGCTACTTAAGTACCTTTAAGTTCAGATGTACAGGGCTTGCTGCAGAAATGAAAATCACTTTAAAAACTGTTATGCAATTGTTAGAAGCTTCTGTTCATGACCTAAGCTGCAAAAGCTGTAAATTCTTCTCCCCCCAGCGCCTTACCCTCCCAATAGCACAAAGTTTTTCATTTACCCCTTGCCATCCACCATCAGCTGGATGTTCAAGTCATCGGCAAATTGCTAATTCATACCCTATCAAAGCACCAGCAGCTAATTGACATATCTGCTAGTTTTGGGTCTGCAAGCCAGGCACATTAAAATCAAAACGAACCCCTGTCAGCAGTCAGTTTTCAAAGTCCTTTTAATTAAATACCACTTAATTAAGGACTTAAGACTTAAGCAACGTAATGTTTCATGTCCTCTGCTCTACAATAACCTAGCCCATTGCTACAAGTTGAGCAGGTCCCAGAAACGCAATGCAACTTGAGTTTGTCAGGAAGCATTTGGAACACGAGGATAAACATGCTAATACAAGCTCTTTGTTGACAGAGCTGGCTGAAAATAAAACAAGAACCATGAAGAAATATGTTCATTTAAATATTTTACCACAAACGCTTTTCAGAGCAACTCCAACAAACATTACATTCCCAGGCTAACCAGAAACTAAGAATAAACGCAAATGCATGAAGAGTCACTGATATTAAGTGAAGTAAATCAAATGGAAGTAAAGAGATTTCCTTTTTTCTTGAGCAAGAGATGCAACTAAAACCACACACATAGCTGGACCAGTGACTTAGCAACTACAGTTCCAGTGAATAACAAACATACTGAATGATCTTAGAACCCCCCAGGGTTTCCATTCTGGCATGCCTACTCCGCAAGTAATAATCCATGTGTGCATGAGAAAAGCTATGCTAGAAATCCAAGTTTTATGGAAGTTGTAGACAGGAGTTGAAAGCTATATATGTGCACAGGCACAAAATCAAAGGAAAATAGGAATGGAAGGGACCTCAGGAGGTTGCACTAAATGACCTTTTGCTTTAGGCAGGTTCATCTCCAACTACACCACCCCTAACTGGTCATCTCACCAGCTCTTAAAAGCTTCCAAGCTTGGAGATTCCATCACTTCTTTGGGTTGCCTGATCCAATACTTAAACCACTCCATAGCAATAAAGTTTTTCCTAATATCTTACCTTAATTTTCCTTGCTGCAATTTAAGGATGCACCTTAGCGTCTCTCCTGAAGTCACAGAGAATAGTCCATCTCTAAAGTCTTTATAAGTCAACCTCCCCCCAGCAGCATTTTCTTCTCCAGACTAAATAAGGCCAGTTCTTTCAGCCTCTCCATAAATCACAAGTCCCAGCCCTCCCTCAGAGATCCTGAAAAAGAACTCTAGGTCAGAAGTTATCATAGTGAAACAAGCTAAAACTCCCTATTTGTCAGACCTTGAGCAGAACATATGTTCTTTTTTTTGGGCTACAGCCTGCTCCTTCTCAAGTCAAGGACTAAACCTAGTATCTATTTAAGTTTTGGATCAGCCTCATAGTGCTTTATGGGGCCAATAATTTGAATAATTTCTTGCATCTAATCTTCATTAGAAAAACAGCATTATAAATAAAAGGAAATATGCAAGAAGGTTGCAGGGAGACAGACTTATGTTCAGACCATGGGATAAGCAGCAAGCAAACTCAATTAATGCTCAGAAAGTCTGCACAGAAATCAAAGCAAGCCACTGAACTGGGATCAAGACCTGGGAATGCTATTAACTTTGTGGCTAGGGACAGAAGTTACACATAAACCAATTTAAGTGATCTGGTTTAAACCTCTAACATAGGGGTTGTCAACCAGGGGTATGTGTACCCCTGGGGGTATTTGAGAAGGCCCTGGGGGTAAGCAGCAGCAGCATTGAGAAGTGGGGCCACTTCTGGTTTCACTGGCAGCACTTCTGATTTTTCCACAGGGTGGGGGGCCTCCCCTCACTCGCTAGGCCGCTGGGGACCCCCTGCCCCCCCACTCATCGGCTGCTGGGGGACTCCCTGCTTCTTGACCAGCCGCCACAGGTACACCAACCAAAACTGAAAACCCAGTTTGTTACAGCAGAGGTTAAGTCATCAGAAACTGGTTTAAACCTGTAACAGAAGTTCAGTGCATATAAACCAGTTTCAAAATGGCTGAAACTGGTTTAAGATAAACCTTGTTGAATGTAGTATCCGACTTAACTGATTTAGGTCAAACTGGTTTATGAAACTTCTGTCCCAGATCCCTTTGTGGTTCAAGTTAGATCAGAGTCCCCCAGCATCCGAGCATTTTGCAGTGCTGGGCTGGGCTGCCTGCTTCAGAGGGCAGGGCTGGCCCCACCCCTCTGCTCCCTAGCTGGAGCTAGTAAGGGCTAGCTCACTGGCCCTGCCAGGGTTTGGGGCCAGGAACAGGGTTCAACTTCCTTTCCCCCAAGTATGGAGTTGCCCTGCCCTGCTTACTTAGTGCTGGCTGCGACTGTGTGCTACAAATCCCAGAGGCACCTGGAAGCAGAGAGAGGAAGCAATGAGCAACCCTGCTGCTGTGAGTCTGGACTTCAAATCCCAGAGACCTTGTGGGCAGCAGGAAGAGGAAGCGAACATGCAGCCCATGCTGGCCATGTGCCTGAGTGCTGTGCTCTAGTGCCCCCCAGTTTCTGGCTCAAGTCATTGTAGGCATGTGGCTGCATTTCCTGAATCAAAAGGGAATGTCTGGTCATTTTCATATCAATTCAATCTTTGCAGCTTAGACTAACCTGCAAAGAATGAATCAATTCAGCCTCAGTCTTTTTGACTGGCTGTACTTAGCCTGTGTGACTGGATGGGGGTGGGGGGACGAACGACAACAACAAAACAACTCGCTTCTGTGTCTCAGGTTTCCTCACCTGTAAAATGTGAATAATACCAAATCTACTACACAAAAGAGGATTGTGAGAATTAATTTAGAAAAAGGAGAGCCCTACAGAGACGAGGAAAGAGAAATAAATGCTAAAGCATATATTTACACGGTCCTTCAGAGACTGCAAAATACACTGCAGGTCCAAGGAGGTGATCCTCCCCCTCTATGCGACCTTGGTCAGGCCCCAGCTGGAGTACTGCATCCAGTTCTGGGCACCGCATTTTAGGAGGGATGTGGACAACACGGAGAGGGTCCAGAGGAGGGCCACTCGCATGATCGGGGGCAGCAGGGCAGGTCCTATGAGGAGAGGCTACAGGACCTGAACTTGTTCAGCCTCCACAAGAGGAGGCTGAGAGGGGATCTGGTGGCCATCTATAAACTGGCCAAGGGAGACCAGCAGGCAAGTGGGAGAGACCCTGTTCCCCCGAGCACTACCGGGAGTAACAAGGAACAGCGGCCATAAGCGGACAGAGAGCAGATTCAGGCTGGATATCAGGAGGCGCTACTTCACTGTCAGGGTGGCTAGAATCCAGAACCGACTTCCAAGGGAGGTGCTCCTCGCTCCTACCCTGGGGGTCTTTAAGAGGAGGCTAGACAGACACCTTGCCGGGGCTGTCTGACCCCAGCATTCTTTCCTACCTGTGGCAGGGGTTTCGGACTGCTAACTATGAAGTCCCCAACCTTGGCTGCAGCTCACCCCCAATTCCTCTGAGGAAAGCTTAAACACACCCTGACACACAAAACTTCAGTAGAACTTCATTTAAATCATGAAATGTAATCAGCATTTTAAAATAGGAGTACCTACACTGGACCCCCAAGAGCAGTTACTTTATTTGCACACAGAAAAACATGTTCAACATCACCCCCATGTGCATCAGCAAAAACAGGTTGCTTTACACATTTACATCTCTTGGGATTCTGTGCAATTGTCACAGAATTATCTAAACTTAAATGTGGGTCTCCCTTGGCCAGTTCATAGACGGCCACCAGATCCCCTCTCAGCCTCCTCCTGTGGAGGCTGAGCAGGTTCAGGTCCTGTAGCCTCTCCTCATATGACCTGCCCTGCTGTCCCCTGATCATGCGAGTGGCCCTCCTCTGGACCCTCTCCATGTTCTCCACATCCCTCCTGAAGTGCGGCGCCCAGAATTGGACGCAGTACTCCAGCCGCGGCCTGACCAATGCCGCATAGAGGGGGAGGATCACCTCCTTGGACCTGCTTGTGACTTCAACTGGGGTGTGCCTGTGCTTCTTCTGGGACAAAAGCCAGAGGTTTCTCATTAGGAAATCCTTCCCCTCTGCTCAGGGTCAAATTAATTGACATATTTGGGGTCAGAGAAGTTTTACCCTATGGTCAGATTGGTACAGACCGTGGGTAGCTATAGAAGTCAGCAGCAATTACTATTCAGCTTTGGTAGACTTTCCAGGGTAAATTTAAAACACTTTTATACTCTTTATTATATTCATTTCAAACAGACAAGATCTATTTTATATTTAGACCAAAGACCACCTCAATTAAGGAAAAAGTATGTTTTGTAAAAATGAAAAGCTAGTCTCAGACTGTATAAATGAGTATTTCAAATCTCCAAGGCAGCAGCAGGTGGCAGGAAAGGAAGGACCTGGGCAAGTTCTATTATGTAAACTCACATGGGTGAATTTATCAGCAAGGACAGTTTCCAGAACCCATAATGGAGATAGGTTTAAACAACTGTTTTATCTACATAGTTCTCAAGTAAGATTAACTGTTCCTCTAAAAACTAATTAGAATCAATTAACTGGCAAAAGGGCTAAGTAATCCAATGACTCAGGTTAATGGGACTGTAGTAACAAATGCGTTACAGAACATGTGCTAAGAACAGATCTCTCCCTTTTACACACTGGGTGCATGTTCATTAAGGTGCTTTTTCTAATGTGCAATAAATGTAGTACCTCCAGTGTAAGGTATCAAGTAATATGCATTAGGCTGCCTTAATGAGCATTAACAAATGCGCATAGTTTAAGTGACACTTAATGCACAATAACCTATATTAATGTTCATTAGCATAATTGCATGTTTTTTAAGGGACACTTTAATGCACAGGAAAATAGACTGCTGCATATTGAAGTGCAAGTGTATATGTGCCCACAAAAGCTCAACACCAGATCATAGATAAATAAATATTCTCCTTTCCATTATGTCCATGTAGTTTAATTAGACTGTGAATTCTTTCAGGCAAAAATAGTCTCCAACTACATAAACTCCCTGGCCTGATGAGGCCCCAAACGCTACTGGAATACAAATAAAATACTGCATGGTATACTCAGCAGTAGGGTACTTCATAGAGTCCCCCCCAAGTCACAGAAGCTGAGAACTTATGTAAATGTGTCAGACCCAGAATACAGCAAATAATATCTCGCATCACAAAAGGTTTCCACCATGAGTGAGGGTAACAGAGATATTGCTGGCAGTCTTCAGGAAGGTAGACACTCCAGAAAGTACTTGGGCAGGAGAGTAGCTGGCAAACTGATGCTGTTATGACCTATGCCACTTCTGATCTGTGGCTAAAGAGTGAAGCCTTCTAGCTAAAAGACTGAGTCAGTCACCTTTCCCTACCACTACATTCACTTCAAAGGAAGTCTTTAAAATCCCAGATTCTATAGCATTAATTTTACTGCACATCAGATGCATAAACTCTATGGGTGCATCCATACAAGCCTGTACGTGCATCTTACCACATCTCAGAGTGGTTTAAGATACAGCAAGAGGCATGTTGCAAACAAAAAAACGTTCCTCATGCTGCATATTTGCAGCACAGGCTCAAAATTTGATACCTGGATATTCAGGTATCAAAATAAAACACGGGGGGAAAAAGAAGGGCAGGGCATGATCCCCAACTATGTCCCAAGGTAACCTGGGAGCCAGTCCTACAGATAGACACTCAGGTTTCTGGCCATAGCATCTCTATGGTGCTCCTGCTTCCCCAGCACGGAGGGGCACGAACCCTTAACATGCTGGGGCAAGCAGAAGCGCGGCAAGGATAGGGACCCCGGCACTGTTGCAGGTAAGTAGGGACATGGGGGTGGAGGGGATGTGGGTGGGTTTGCGGAGGGGTTCAAATGGAGGCTGCCACATGCCTGCCCCCCTACCCGCCCCCTGCAGTGCTGGTGGCAGCAGCCAAGCCCAGCTGTGGCCCAGCTGCAGGCACAGTGAGCAGCGACACTGCACCATGTGACCCAAGCTCTGTACATGCCGAATGGATCCAGCCTGCTAGTGCATGGCTTTGGACATGACTGGGAAAGCCATGCACTAGCGGGCCAGGCCGGGCTGGGCCATTCAGCATGTACAGAGCCCGGGTCACACAGCACCGCGTTGCCATTACCTGTGCCTGCAGCCAGGCCACAGCCACGTTGACTGCTGCCACCAGCACTAAGGGGGGCAGATGGAGGGGGCAGGCATGCAGCAGCTGCCATTCAAGCCCCTCCACAAAGTCTGCAGCAGGACCCTCACACACCTCTGCAGTGGACTGGGGATGCACAGGTCCTGTGCAAAGGCGCGCTAACTACACTGCCTGGGCCGGGTCATGCTGGGCATGTTTTTCATGAGGCTCAGGTGGCAATGCACAGCCACAGCACTGTGCCTACAACAGGCCATGGCGCATCACCACTGGAGCCTCACGGAAAACGCACCCGCCCGGCCAAGCCTTCTCAGACTGGGCTGCACAGCCAGCATGCCTTTGCACAGGAGCTGCATGCCCCAGAGCTGTGCCTCCCAGTCCTGTGCAAAGGTGCGTGCTAGCAGGCTGTGCTGGACAAGGTCCTGCCATGTACTTTCTCCCCACCCACACCGCGAGTCTGGCAGTGCTGTTGCAGGTGGCAGCAGGTCATAGCCAGGCAGCAGCCCCCAGTCAGACTGGTGCAGTGGGTAGAGGGTGCAGGGAACCCTCAGTTAGGGCTGCTGCAGCAGTTCAGCTGACACAAGGAGTAGTGTCCCTAGATACCAATTGGCCAGGCCCCAGAAACTCCTGAGAGCAAGTAGCCCTGAGCTACTTGCCAGGGCAGGTTTTTATACTGCTGAAGCCAGCACAGGGCAGGGTTTTATACTACCCTGGGCTGGCCCCAGGTTCTCGCTCCCCCTGTCTGCAGATCTAGGAGGAGTTGGGCAGGGTTATTTTGCCCCAAGTAGCACAACTTGTCCCACACCAAAGTGCTTGTCCAGGCACATGTGGAGGAAAACCTCCAGCTCAAATTTGTGCTCCTCCTATTTGAGCTGCTGAAAGCACATGTGCCTGTATGTGTGGACGCACCCTGTGAGTTCAACTTTGCTGAAGACTCAAAAAGGTGACAATACTGGTTTGGAATAAAATAAGTCTGTCTCCATAAAGTCAAGGAAGCTGCATGGAAATACTTCAGACGAGTCAGTAAAGCAACATACCCCAGAATTTATCACTCCAAAAATATCTCGGACGTCACGCACAGGCTGTTTGTTCTTCTTCCGACGAGACCGTGAGTAGGTATCCAGCCTTCTCTGCACAGCTGCAGCCTGGGTCTTGGTCAAGGTAGAAAGCAGCACAATATTGCCATTGTCTGCAGCATTATCCCCAATCAGATCGGAGAGGCCTGCATCCTGTAGCCATGCAGCTTCAGCTTCTCCCTCTGAGAGGCAAGGGATGAAGGACAGAGTCAGTGTCAAAAAGCAGGGCAGGTAACAATTCAGCATAACAGATACAGTCCAAAAGCAAGGCTTGGAAGGCATTATGGTTCTCTTCCTTAGTACAAAAGGAATTACAAAGCCAAGAGAGCTGCTGGGACTTCAAGCCCCAGTCCTGGCTTAGGAACAGGTATAAGCCAACTATGCCTTTGGTGCTTCACTGGGGTTCTCCCCTGCCCTCACTCCCAACAGTCATTTGGGAAACAAGGCACATACCCACAACACAGACTTCCCTTTGCAGCTAGGCAGCAAAGGTATGGCCCCACTAGCATAGTCCTCTTTGGAATAAACAATAGCACGTGGCCTTTCTGCAGAGAGCAAGCTCTACACCCTGGTGAGTGCAAGGACTATGCTTTTAGCTGAATCTGATAGTGAATTCCCTTTCAAAGGACAAGAAGGAAAGGTTAGTGCCCTCTCCCTCTCCTTTGCCTAACCTGGCCTTGCTTGAGCCTCGTGTGTGTGTGTGTGTCGGGGGGGGGGGGGG